GCTTTATTTAACGAGAAGCGTAAGTCACATTTGTCCATAAAGTATTGGATACCGAACTCACAAGATAAACATAACTGATGGTGAATTAAAAACTTACGGGATAAATGTTGACAAACACACACACGAAGACTATATACCTTTCATCTCTATTCTCCTGCCTGTGAAGATGAATTGTAAGTCAAAGTATTTTTAAAATTTAGTTCTCTCAATTTCTGATACTGAATGACATTTTTTTAAAAAAGAAAAACTTCTGGCAAAATTATCCAGATTACTTGTCTCCGGTAGCAAATTTCTCAGCATTTCCCTTTGTTTTGTCTATGCCTCAGCCGCCGCATTTTCCTATATAGGAAGTCACATGCTTTTCATGGATTTGCTATTATGTAATTGTGGGTACACCCAACTATTTTAAATATTTCCCCTGCAGGAAGAGAAGGAGGGAGCTATATGGATGAGGTGGGGAGGAAAAATATCTTAGGTGAGAGAACTATTTCAAAAGGCTTATTAAATTGACATGAATATTAAGAAGTTGATTTGTAGCCTCTCTATGAAAAAAAAAAAAAAAGATGATTATTAAACCGTGAGGTGAGGATAATATACCAAAGTTGTTTTTTGACCGGTCACTTTTTGCTTTGAATTTCCGTTCAAGCCATGAATGTCTCCTCAGCTGGAAGAGTTGAACTTTTAGTTCTAGGATGGTTATCTGATGCTAGGGAAAGCCTTTCTTTGGACATCTATTGCTCTGGTTTGCCACAGACCTATTTCAGTAAAAAGTGTGTTTAATACAAGCAGCAGCTACTAATGGTTAACTTAAGAGCCTTGAAGCAAATGTTAAATACACATTTGTCTATGGAATGAAGAAACCAGAAAACCAGAGAGACCTAATGACAATTCAGTCAGGCTATATGGAGATGCACCAAGACTTATGTCCAACGCCCATAGAGTTGCCTAGCTCTTGGGTCTGGATGCTTGGATGTTGAAAACTCAGTTCTCTACTCTCTGCTTTCTGGCACATACAAGCCAAATGGGGCAAGAAGAATTTCTTTGTCACTCTCTCTAGGCAAGGCTCTCTAGAATGCTAAAATGGAGTTTCTCTTCTAGTGTCAGAGTGAGTCAAAAAACGCCTTCCTGCGCCTGAAGATGCCAGCAGGAAGCAGTATGATTTTCAATTGAGCTGTGCTGCTGTTTCCTAGCACACGAGTTAATTTCATAGATCCGGGCACTTACTTCTTTAACTTCCTTTCTCTCCTTTCTTCCCTGTTTTCTTTTGACCCATTCTCTCCTCTCCAAAACCCGGTAAATTCTCTGGAGACAGGGAATAAATATGGCCTCCTAGAGAGAGTATTTACAGGAGTAAAAATCATTTCCTCCAAATACAACTAGCCTTTTCATTAATTTTCAAGTTGTCATGTTCGTGTTGAGATAGTTTGGCAAAACCCTAGAAGTGAATGCTCATTAGCTTATTAACTGATAGGGCAATAGTGTTTGCATTGAAGCTTCTGGGTACCTATTATTCTCTGAGAAATGTCAGTGGCTCCATCCTATTGAAATTGATTATGCACAGAGAAGATGTCGACCAAGTAAATCCATGACTTTTTAAAAAGATAAGAATAAAAATAATTTGTTTTACCAAGTTCTTCTCCTTATCTGGTAAAACCTAAAATCTACGTACAGCATAATTTTTATAGTAGAGAAATGGAGTATACAGGGAATGGAGGAGGAAGCACAGAATGTTTTCACATATTTGACTCTATCGATGTGAAATACAGTTACTGAAATGCCTGCTAGTCCGCATTTTAGAACAAATCTATCTGGGAGAAAGAAAATTGTGTGTGTGTGTGTGTGTAGGATGGAGGACTGTTTAGTTATGTAAGCACTGCTTTAACAGATAAACATGGAACTCTGCTGTCTAATTTACTTCAGAGCTGTGATCATCTGTCTTTGCTCTGGTCTAATTCATGTTTTTGACCTGACCCCAGGCCCCAATTCTATGAAACCTAGGTAGGAAAATCTAGGTTATGGTCTACTACTCGGGCTAATTATAGGTTTCCCTCAAGAATGAGAAGCATGTATTCCTATTTCCATTGACCATCAATGGTTCCACAACCTTTCTGCATCCCCGTTCACTTACAATTGTGGTTACATTTCCACAAGGGAGGAAAATGCAAGCACCACCGGGCTGTCAAATCGAGCATCATACTTTCCCAGGCAATATACTCAAGGGAAAGCGGAGAGGAGGGCAAAGGAGGGCGAGGGAGCGATAAATAGATGTTACACACTTTTCCCCCTGGAAAGATCATCCCACTTTTCCTAGTTTCCCAGGATTAAAAGAATGTATTTTCTTTGTTGCCAGGGAAACTACTAGTAACAGAATTTTTCTCTCTCTCTTTTCTAAATTTCAAGAAGCTTTCAGATAACATTTCCTGGGCATTTGTATTGCACTTGGTTTCTCATTTGGGGCTGGAATATTTGTATTCCTTGTCCTTTTCATTATTTCGTGTGTTAGAGAAGTTTGCTATCTGTGTATACATGTATATATGTGTGTGTATAGTGCTATACATTTAAAATTAGATAAAGAGATACATGATTGATACATAGATAGATGATGGATAGATAAATACAATGCCACCATCTGAATGGAAGGCACTTCTCCTTTCATTTTGTGATAGCCTTCCCAGCACTGCCTCTGTGCTCCATCCTGCCTTCTGTCTCCAGGGTTCAATCTGTGACACCAGAAGGGCCTTTCTTATCGTCCACTGACAAACATACCAACTTAGAAAGGATGTGCAGCTCATTCACGAATATGGTGAATGAGCGTCTTTATAACATCAACAATGTGGGTGAGATCTGTAATCTCTAATTTTCTGGGAATTTTCAAACATTTGTAAATTTTAAAATAATGTGAATCCAATCTTTGAATCTTCATAACATTATATTTTTTTTTCTTTAAAATGTTTTGGCATTCAAGGAAATACAACTCATTAGATTCCTTAGTTTCTAACATTTCTAGCTGCCTTAGAAACTAAAAACAGTGGCATTTTTTCTTTCCTACTGATTTGGGGCAGTGTAGACACATGCCAAGGAAGATGGTGCTGGAAGTTGACCCTGGAATTTTGTATCTGGGTTTCTTGTCAAGCCTACAAAACGCATATGATGAAAACTCTATGCTCACAATGTTGATCTGGTCTTGCTGTGGCCTGCCGGATGGAGGAGCTGCTTTGACGTGGGCGATACTGGCAAACACGTGTGAACACGCAGCCTGGCACTGGTTGGCAGCACACCCAGTCATTCCAACCTATTTTCAACATGTAAAATGCCAAGTACGCAGGATGGGCATGTTATCCTTGGAACCCACAGAAGTAAGGAAAATCCAATAAGCATAGTCAACATTGACCCAAAGAATAGAGTGACATAAGTGCTTCGCTTTCCATATTCTTAGAAAATGACTGACTAAGCTGCATGCGTGGGAAACCAGGAGTGCATGGAGCAGACAGGAGACAAAAGGAGGAAATATAACACTAAGCAATGTAAAATCTTCTACTTCAGCAGTTCAGAATTTTATTCATTCTTTAAAAAAAAATCTTCTTTCTTTTGAATTAACTCAATATCCTCATCTCGGTGACCCTCATATGTGGTTAAGCTTGATCCTACTTATTACTAAATTATGCAAATCATTGCTTCATCAAATCTATGGAAGATGAAGGAAAAGCACTCTTACTAAGACTTACGATAATGAAATACAGAATTAAACCTCTAAATCTACTCAGATATGCCATGGCCTATCAATTAGCTGCACATGAGGCATCTGTCAGGAGTGTAAGACCACTCTTCTGTCTACAAGTACAATTCACTAATGTGGGAGGGAAAACAGTGAGGGGAGACTGGGGTTGCTAAAAGATCACACCGTTCTGCAGAATGCAGGGTACTTTAAAACGGCCTCACTTAGAAAGTCTCTACGGATAGCCACATTAATTTTGGGAAACATAGTTTGGGGCTAAGATAATTGTCAGGTATGAAATAAAGAGATTACATCATAGGAGAACTAGCCATTTTAGGCAATATCTTTCTGTTTTGGTGTACAGTCCTCTGGTTGTTGAGGTGGGAGACCACCCCAGTGGAACACAACGGTTTTATTTTTCATTATTGGAGTTAGAAAATTTGAAATTTTATACCCACCAAAATTTCAAATCACTTGAAAATTGAAACGCTTGGCCTACCTCTTAGGATGATGAGGCATTTATAAAATAGTCTGTTGTTGACCTGAGGTCAGTGATTTAAAACAGCATTCGATAGCTGTGAAGGGGTGATGACAAACATGAGCGGTATGAGGAAACAATCCATATGAATTGTGTCCAGGTCGATTTTGGGTGAACGTAATGTATTCATGGCTGTATCTCTGATTCGTAATACCCATGAACATGTTCGAAGGGAAAGATCAATATTTTAAATAATGTATCTGCTTAAAAATTCAAATAGTGACTGCCTCATCCTAGGAGGATGACGCATTAATAAAATTTTAGCATCTTTGGAGCCAGCAGGTGGTGTAGAGGTTAAGATGCTGGATCCCATTATGGCCAATTCCACAGTTCAAATCCCAGACCTGGTGTCCTGAAGAACACGCTGGGCAGCTGTATGTACATGACCAAAATCCCAAGAGAAAAACAGAGGAAAGGGATTGTGGTGTGGCCATTCCTTATGTGGTGGGAGGTGATTTCTCACTTTCTCTCTCTGTCTTTCTCTGGTGAGTACATAAGCCTTATGGCAAAAATAAAAAAATAATAAAAAAAAGACTAATGGGGAAAAAAAATTACCACCTTTTACTAACCAAGTTCAGAAATAGAGGTGAGCTCTCTGGGTCAGAATTAAAATAAGTGAGATCATTTAAGCTCCCTGTAAATTGGTTTTGCACATCCACTTTCTTTTTTCAGACCAATTCCAGGTGAGATCTGTGACCTAAATCGATAATCAATGATATCCTAATCTTCCCTTATATTTCTTTCCCCTTGGAAAGATTTCTCTGTGATTCTGATTGGGTCTGACTACAAACTAAGTAGTTTAATTTCAAAAGGGGTGGGAAGAGGAAACCATAAAAGGAAGTTTATCTGTTTGGACATACATCCAGGACAATATGGGCAAGAGTAAGCAACACTCCCTGGAATGTGTCCCCTTGGGTGTCTTTGAGCAAAGCTGCTACGGAAAGTTGTGTAGGTTACTGGAGAGTGCAGAGTTCTGATGGAGGGAAGAACTCACTGGGTAGTTTGCAAGCTCGACTAAATTACTCCTTGATTAACTCCTGATAAAACTCAGAACGCACAAAGCGAGGCAGCGAATCCTTTTCCATCAGGGCGTGGATTCTCTTCTGGGCCACGTCAAAGCTGCTCAGGGAAGGCTCCACCAGGTTCTTCATTGTGATGTCCTTAGTGAAGTGGTCAATATTCACCTGTGAGCCAGAAACAAGGGGACTGGGTCAGCCCAGGTTGCAGAATTTCATGAGGGATGGGGAGGAAGGTGGAATTTCTCACCACCAGAATGTAAGACAGGAGAAAAGTTAGAAAAAGCGAGACATACTGCTTATTTCATTGGCCATGATGTAGGAACTGATGCTTGAATAAACGCATGACTCATTAGGATTCAACCAGGGCAAGCTGGTGGCATAGTGGTTAAGACAGGTAGGTCCGGGACCAGCAGTTAGCATAATGGTTATGTCGCTGGACTCCCATGTAGTCGACTGCGGTTCGCGTCCTGGACCTGGTGGCTTAAAACTCACGCTGGATGCATGTGTATGCGTGCCCAAGATTCCCGAGAGGAGGATGGAGGAGAAGGAATTGCAGCGTGACAATCCCACCTGGGGGGTGATTTCTCGCTTTCTGTCTCTCTGTCTTTCTCTGTCTGGTGAGTGCACGCGCCCCGTAGCAAAAACCTAAAAAAAAAAGACAGGTAGGTCCTCTCTGGCCAACTGCACAATTCAAGTCCCAGATCTGCAACTTGAAAATCATGCCAGATGTGTGTGCATGCGTGCCCAAAACCCTGAAAGGAGAAATGGAGGAGAATATGTTGCAGTGTGACCATCCCCTATAGGGGGAGTGCTGTCTCACTTTCCCTCTCTGTCTCCACAAAGCACACGTACCTCTTGCAAATTAAAAAAATAAAAATAAAAAAAAGATTCAACCTCTGCTAGATCCCAGCAGGTACGATTTTCCACTATTCACTAACACATAGAGAACCTATTTAATCCTGACAATAGCCCTAAGGGTTACTCTTTCGTTTTGTAGAAAAAGTACACCGAGGCCAGCCAGGGGCATGGTGGTAAAGGTGGCTAGATCCCACATGGCTCACGGTGTGGTCTGAGTTCTGAACCCAGTAGCTTGAGGAACATGACAGGCACATGTGCATGCATGTCCAAAATCACAAGAGGAGAATGAAAGTAAGGGGATTATAGTATAGTAGTCCCCCCTGGGAGGTGCTTTCTCATTGTCTCGCTGTGTTTCTGGTGAGCACACATACCCTATTGCCAAAGGGTCTGGGGAGAGAAGAAGAAGAAGAAGAAGAAGAAGAAGAAGAAGAAGAAGAAGAAGAAGAAGAAGAAGAAGAAGAAGAAGAAGAAGAAGAAGAAGAAGAAGAAGAAGAAGAAGAAGAAGAAGAAGAAGAAGAGGAAGAAGAAGAAGAAGGAGAAAGAAAACATATGGAGAAGGGTAAGTGGCCTCCTCAAGCTTACACAATCGATAAGTGTGTGTACTTGAATACAGATAATCAGAATTTGAATCCAGATGTTCTGACATTTAATTCCACAATTTTTCTACCACAGTATTTGTTTTCTTGCCTAGTGAAGGGATAGAAGAAAAAGAAACTCTGATCAAAGATCTAGTACCTTTTACATTAAAAAAAAATATTACTCATGATAGGGAATACATGGACATACGAGAGAGGGGGAGAGAAAGGAGAGAGGGACAGAAGCAGTCTCGATAGGGATTCATCATGCCACAATTCCCTTCCCCCAGCCTGCTAGCCTGCTAGGGTCTTGGGCATGCACCTGGCTCATTTGCAGGCTGACCCAGGGATCCAAACCTATGGTCAACCAAGTGGCTTCCAGCATCATGGTTCAATATGAAACCAACTGCACCACCATGGCTGGTCCCCAGGACCCTTGACATGGCTTCACAAAAACAGGGGATTTGATCTCTTCTAAAGCAAACCAGGAAATAGTCATGCTGGCAGAGTAATAATACAAATAGCATCTAATAGCTACTGATATTTATTGAGAGCTTCCTCTGGGCAGGCCGTGCTGAGAGCTTCATCTCATCTTCCTACTCCATGGGGTAGATGTGGGCTGTCAGCTACATTTTATAGGTAAGGAAACAGAGGCACAGGCGTGTTATTTGATTTGTCCAGGGGCATAAGTGATAGGAGATTCAGAAGCCTAGCAATGTGGCTCTAGAGCCTACGCTTTTAGCAGCAGACTACCATGTGGAAGGAAGTGGCTTGCATGTCCTGAGTGCAGGCCCCTACACAGCACAGCTCCCGGGGCTGCATTCGCATGAGGGTCTCTGAATGGTTCCCTGGCATTGCACACGGTACAACCTGTATCAGCTTGCCTGAGCATGATTTGAAAGGAATCTTTATCCTTCACATTGGATGATGCTTTAATGACCCTTAAGGAGTCTGTACAAGAGAGGAAAATAGAAGCCAAATCATCCAGTGGTTCTAAATGGGAACACTGGAAAATGTTCGGATCTCTTCTGGGCTGCCACAGACCCATGTACTGAAAGTGCTATTTGGACTCATAATTATGGAGCAGCTGCTGCATGTTAGAGTCAGAGACAAAGGCAGGACTGGAGAGCACCAAGCAAAGCAGACAGCAGCTCCACGTTGTCCTTGACTGCCCTAGGTGACATGAGTGCCCCAGACTACGGGGAGATATATGGTTGGTGAAAGGAGCCCTGGGCTTTCCAGGGATATGGTGGAAGACCAGCCTGTTGGAACTGGGCGAAGTCTTGGAGATGAAGCAGTTCAGTACTGCCTTTTCAGGTAGATATGCTGAGGCCCAAAGTGGCCAGGTTACATGCCTGTAAGTGGGCAGTGTGGGGCAGAGGTGAGGCACACGTGCCTAGCAGGGTTTTCAAGCTGCCAGGTCCAGGACTCAAACCATGCAGTTGACCATGTAGGATCCAGCCTCCTTAACCTTCATGCTGCCTGCTGGAGCAGATTAATGGTTAATTTCTAAAAACTATGAGAATATCTTTTAATCTCTCTCTTTTTTAGAAGTTTATTCATTTATTTCTTCCATGAGCAAGAGAGACCCCGACAGGGTCCCACACCATCGTGACCCACCCCTAGCCTCACCCAGCTCCAGGTCATGGGCACGGGGGCATCTCGCATGCTCAGGGAGGTCTCCTGGTGCAAAATTGGAACCTTTCCATGTGGCCTCGCAGTATCGCATTTTACTCTGTGCCACTGTCCAGCCCGCTTAATCTCATTTTTTAAAAGAAGTGATGCATTTAAAACCCTCTAACGCCTTCTAAAAGGCTCCACTAGTCAATAGCAACTGCTTCTCTTATTCTTTTTATGTGCATAGGACTTCTCTAATGAATCATTCCAATACATGTTCATCTGTTTACTGAGCCAAAAAAAAATATTTCATTAATTTAAATATGGTCAAGTGATAATTGGCAATGTCCAAATTATTTACATAAGGACACATGGACCTTTCTTTTTTTAAAGTCTTAGTTCCAATTCTTTAGACATCTGTTCCTGGTATTAAAGAGCCAAGGTGAATATTCAGAGCAAGAAAACTTAGATTACTATTTACCTAGGTAAATATGTTATATATTGGGTTGTCAGGAAAAGTCATGACGTATTTTTTCTATGTAGAAACGTATCATGACTTTTCCTGACAACCCAATATTTCTATCTGCCATCATCAAAATAAAATAATAATTTATGGGCCAGTGAGTGCACAGAGATTAAAGCAGTTGGACCCCATAGACTCAACTACACGGCTCAAGACCCAGCAGGGCTTGAACACCCACCAGGCATGTGTGCATGAGTGCCCCAAATCCTGAGAGAAGAATGGAAGGAATTGTGGGATAGCCATCCCCCCTGGGAGGGGGGTGATTTCTCACTTTCCCTCTCTCTGTCTCTCTCTGGTGAGCACCCATGCCCTATTCCAAAAACCTGAAATAAATAAATTAAATAAATGAATATTTAGGTCAGTGGCCTCATGGTGGCACAACAATAAAATGCAAGGCAATTTCAGGGGAGAAGTTCCTAGTTCAAGTCTGGAGACTCCCTGAGTACACTGGGCCCACATGTGCCTGTGATCCGGGACTGGGTAAAGGCTGGGGTGGGTCATGGCATCAGGACCTGGTCAGGGTGCTGTCTCTTTCTCTCTCCTCTCATTCATGGGAGAAATTAATAAACTTTTAAGAAATCAGACTTGTGAAAAACATACAATTTAAAAATTATATATTTAAATCAGAATATAGGATTTGGAGAATGTTTAAAGTAATAATAGCTCAATATATTCCAGGTGCACCTACAGATATATGAGATGTTTACAGCTAAGACCACTTACTCAATATATTCCAGGTGACCTACAGATATATGAGATGTTTACAGCTAAGAGAATCAAGAGTTAGAGGAATCTAGTCAGAGACCTGTCAAAAGTGACAGATTAGGGAGATCTGGAGTTGGATATTTGTATCTGTTCACCTCACAAACTTTTATTGAATGCTTTCTTATATTCCAGGAGTACAATTCACGTTCTCTGTGATGCCCAGTTCAGGCTCATTATTCTGGATTACTCTAGCTTGCCTGTATTTGGGGGTCTCACAGACAAGGGATCTTCAAAATGTTCATGAAAAATACATATTGTGAAAAAATTACATATGGATTTAATTTTTATTTTGATATTGAAAGCCAGCGTAACCACGGACTGACAAAATGAACTTGCCGAAGTCTCTTCACAGAGCACTGTATCCCTACATGATCACAGATCATTAAGAATGGTAGTCAATTCTATTTTAATCAGAGCCTTGTAATTGATGGCCACCATTGATTTATTCTAGCAACTCGACCAGTCAAGGGTTTTATTTATTTTGAAACTTTTTTTGCTGCTATAGGGCATGTGCACTCACCAGAGAGACAGAGACAAAAAGCAAAAAATCACTCCCCAGTGGGGATGGCCACACCATAATCCCTTTTTCTCCATTCTCTTCTCAAGATCTTGAGTACACAAGCAAATGTGCCTTGCATGAGTTCCGAGCCTCTGGGTCCAGGACTTAAACCATGGTTGACTACATGGGAGTCCAGCAATGTAACCATTACACCATCTCCTGGTCCCCTGAAACTCTATTTTTAATGGCTCATAGTTTCATGATAATTAATATTTTAATAAAGAACAGTGAGAATAATCTTTTCCTAGAGCCAAAGCACTAACAATGGTCTGAGGGTTCTCCACCACATACAGGTATTTCAACAAATCCTAGAGTTCTGTGAAGAGGAATGAAGATAGGTTGGAAATGAGAAATCCATCTGAAGAGGAGAAACATGTGCCCACATTTGCACAGCATCTCCTCATTAACACGTGTGAAGAGTTCACGCTCCTAGAAGAAAGAATGGCGCAATACAAATGGAGTCGGAAGGAAGGGAGATTGAAGATCTGTGTGTGCAGTGGAGGTTGAGGAGTGGAAGGGGAGACGTGGAGAGAATCAGAGTTAGCATCCACAACAAGAATAAACTTACTTCCCTTCTGGGTGTTTTCATTTTTTATATTTCTTTCCCTTCACTTCCTTTTCTTTCTTTAAAGCTTCTCTCTCTCTCTATCTCTTCCCCTCGCCCTTGCTCTCGCTCTCTCTCTTTCTCCACTCTGCTATCTCTACCCCTCGCTCTTGCTCTCGCTCTCTCTCTTTCTCCACTCTGCTCCACCTTTCCTCCCCCCACGCCTTTCCGCAGGCCTTTGGCATTTACACTGTGGCTGGGGCTGCAGGACACCTACAAGAGGAAGTCAAAATAGCAACAGTGATAGTGTCAGTGATATTGAAAGCCAGCGTAACCACGGACTGACTACTAAAGGCCAGATGTGTGTTGATTTCAAAGAGGATTTGGGGATGTTGATATGATCTTTTCTTTGAGCCACACACTATGTGCTCTCGTACAGCTAAGCTCTGTTCCCCATACCACAGAGGAAGCATATCTGTGGGCGTTAAGGCATATAATTTGTCCATTCACCAAAACATATTTACCCTTTAAAAAGGATCCATCTGTGCCACCCTCTGGCCCCATATGGGAGGGGTCCTGGGTTTCAGTCCGAAGGGATAGACTGCAGTGTGAGCACCCTATTGGAGGTACCTGTACCTCTCTGTTTCAAAAATGAATTAACTTAAAAAAATAAATAGAAGGACATCAAGGGGTAGTTTATAACCAAAGGAACAAAATATATCTAAGAGTGGAACTCCAGGAGTCTGGAATAAGGGAGGTAAGGGGCATTGGGGTTTTCCCTTCTCAAATCATCGTAAGTACATTCCTGACTACATTTAGGGCTTGCTCAGATCACCTATACGCTAGACTCCGAGCCTGGACGAAACATTCAGTGTCCAGACTGGATTAAGAGAAAGAAGTGGAATTAGAGGGACCTGACCAAACGGGATTAACAGCTTTTGCTATGCCATCCTGAGTTCCAGAAGGGGCTTCCAACTGATCTTCATAAATGCAAAGAAGAGAGCATATCAATGTCCTCGAAGCCTCTTTGAAATCGACACACATTTGGCCTTCAGTAGTCAATCCAGGGTTGCGTCGGCTTGCACTATCACTGACACTGTTATCTGCTGCTATTTTGACTTTCTCTTATAGATGTCCTGTTGTAAGTAGCAAATGCCTGAAGAAAGGGGTGCAGGGGATAAAAGACAGAGAAAAGAGAGAGAGAGAGAGAGAGGAGTTTGTAGGAGTTAAAAGGAAAGCGAAGGGAAAGGAAAAAGGGACAAAGAAAAGATAAGTAGTAGAAATACTCATTTGGCATTAGTTTAGACACTAATGTTCCCACATACACTATTCAATTTAGTCTTGATAAGAATTTATGAACAGTCTCTATTACTCTCAGTTTCATGAAGGAATAAAGTAGGTTCAGAGAAATTTAATAATTCACCCCAGATCACACACTAGATCTATTTCCACCAGAGGTCCTGTTTTCCACCGTGAGATCCGTAAGCCAGGAAGTGGTCTCACCCGGGCTCAAGTGCATGTTTGCCCGCCTACCCACATCGAGCAGCAGCCTTCGGCTCCAGACTTGAGGCCTGTGTCTCAGATTAAGTTCTTCTTGGGAACTTGTCAAGCTGACCCGTGAGTGACCAGACTCTCCCACAGAGTCAGCAGCACCAACCTCTTTGGGAGCCTCTGTCTGGATGAACTCCTCGTAAATGTGTTTTGCCTTCTCAGCCATCCTGGCGGGGGACTTGATCTTCTTGTACTCCTCACAGGCAATCCAGAACTCAAGGTTTTCCTCGCTGAATTCAGACTTCAGGAAACTTTTGAAACTGGCAAGTCCATCTAGCAAGAAGCAGCAGTTGGGAAAAATGGATAAATTGACTTAAGTAACACTCTACCTTGGTGTATAGCCTGGCCTTTCCTACAGTGTATTGCTGTCATTGAGGTAAGCACCCTACAAACCTCCACCATTTCATCATTTCACACCTAAGGGGCAGATGCTATTATTATTCAATTCTCTAAATGAGGTTGGAGAGGCCAAGTGACTGCTCCATAAATAACTAGCTGGTAAGTGGCAGAGCTGGGATTCAAACCAGGCAGTCTGACTGAAAACTCTATGTGTTTACCTATTATGCTAACCTACTTCCCAGGAGAGGCATGATCGGCTGTTTAGAATGTAAACTAGCCAGTCTTGCCTTCTTAGAACAGAAACTGCCTACTTTCTTGTGCACCAGCACGGAGACAATCACAGGGCCAGCACGAACATGCCAGTGAGAGGATGGTGGCAGGCCCATCGGTGCCATCCCAGCCACATGATGCTAGTTCTTTCACGTCTACCTTCCCTTCCCCTCCCCTGGGATGCATGAGGGAAAGGACAGAGACGTAGCGAGCTGGCGGCAACATGGAGCTTCAGCCCTACTCCCCCTGGAGGGCCGGAGGGAGCTCTGGGCCCCTCAGAGGCATCACCACCTTGTCTTTATGGAATCAAATGTAGAGTACAAGCAGATGACGAATGTTTAGTTGTTTACGACACCAAGGAACACTAATGATAATAATGCCATTCTGGACGTCTGTCAGTGACCAAAGAGAAAACACAGCATTTAAAACTTGACTTGTTGGGGACCGGCAGATGGTGTAATGATTATACTGCTGGACACCCATGTTGTCAACCACGGTTCAAGGCCCAGACTCAGTAGCTTAAAACTCACACTGGGCACGTGAGCATGCATGCCCACAATTTTAAGAGGAGACTGGAGAAGAAGGGATTGCCACGTGGCCAACCTCCCCAGGGGGTGATTTCTCGCTTTCTGTCTTTTAGTCTCTCTCCCTCTCCAGCAAGTACGCACTCCCTATAGCAAAAATCTCTCTCTAAAAACAAACAAACAAACAAACAAACAAGAAAAGACTTGGTTTGTTGGAAGAAACTGGGAACTGGGTAGGCCTCTGTAAAATGGACAGAGGGAAAAACCCCATAAAGTGGTGGGTTGCAGCTGTGCAAACAAACAAACAAAGACTTGGTTTGTTGGAAGAAACTGGGGACTGGGTAGGTCTCTGTAAAATGGACAGAGGGAAAACCCCATAAAGTGGTGGGTTGCAGCTGTGTAGCAGTTCAGGCCTATGACAAAGAATATCAGCCCAAGGGATGTAATCAAAGAGCGCTATAAATCCAAGAAATGAAAAGCTAAAAACTTGGCTTACTAGAAAGAAAGAAAGAAAGAAAGAAAGAAAGAAAGAAAGAAAAAGAAAGAAAGAAAGAAAGAAAGAAAGAAAGAAAAAGAAAATCTTGTTTTGTTGATACGAGTAATATCATGTTAAGGGTCCTGCATTAAAAACTAACAATCCCCCTTTTTTTCTTTCTGCAGATCTTTGTTGAGTGACCATTACGTTCCAGGCACTATCATGAGCCACAGTGGTAAGCAAAGGAGACGTAGTTCCTGTCCGAATGGAGCCCATAGATTCTGGGGGAAGTAGAAAGAAAATGAAGAAACAAAACCATCGACACAATGAAGGGAAGACAGAATTAAAGACAGTAACCAGTTCACAGGAGGATTCTAACTTCATTTTAGGGTTAGGGAAGGCAAGGAGGAAACCTTCAATCTGAGACCTGGCAGATGAGTGGAAAGGGGCCAGGTAGAGTTACCCCAAGCAGAGTAACTACCATACCCCTCAGACATGCATCAGTTTTTAAAACATACTAAATTGGATATCATCATAACTATTGGGATTGTTTCCAGCATAATATTGTTCATGTGGCATGATTATGATTAAAATATTTATGATTAAAATATACATATAATGCATACGTCTGTATGGAGCTATATGTGTGTGTGTGTGTGTGTGTATATATATATATATATATTCACACATACATACATATTCTTGAGTCTGATCCTTTGGGTTCTTTTTCTTTTTTCCCTTCCTACACCTCCAGCTCTAACCTCCAAAGCATGGTGAAAATTTAAGAATACATTGGCAACATATAACAGAAAAATCTTAACCTGTAATATTCTCTTTCTCTTCAATGCTGACTTTATATACATAGTCATGCGTTGCTTAACAACGAGGATGCATTCTGAGAAATGCATCAGTAGGTGATGTTATCATTGTGTGAACATCACAGAACACACTCACACAAACCTAGGTGGTGCAGCCTGTTCATACTAGGCTCATGGCGTGATCTCATGGGACCACCGTCCTATATGTGGTCATCATTGATCAAAAATGTCACTATGCAGCACCTGACTGTATGTGTGTATGTGTATAATTTTTTAAACTAAAATGCCAACAAATGTTTACCTGTAGGGAGAGATTTCAAAGAAAAACTCTAATTATCTGCCAGCTGTGTCACAGTCACAAGCATCCCCTCCGTAAAATGCCTGGACTGTCACTTTGCCTCCCAGGGAAGAAGGCAGGGATGACCGTCACACTTATTTCAGGGTCTTCTTCTAACTTCTACCCACCAAGAGACACTTCTGCAGCCCATTAGTTCTGCGTAGGGAACATATTCATGCTCCAATTTAATTTACTTAGACCTGCTTTCAATCTATTCCCTTTTCCTTTTCATGTTTTTTCTTATTCTTTTTATAGACTAAATTTTCATTCATTAGTCATTGTCTAATACATTGATTTCAAACAACAAGCACACAGTGTTTGTGGTGATTAAACCATAGCTGTATGGTCATCCTTTTCCCCTATTTACCTTCTATACATATCTTTAAATGATTTGTATTGTAATTTCTGATTTACACGCAGTCATCGTGCATCTTTGTGGGTCCAATGGTTTTTCACAGCATAAATATACAGTGTGTAATAATCAAGTCAAGTAAAAAACACACTATCTCCAACATTTATTTTTCTTTGTGTTGTTTACATGTGAACTTTGCTGCATTTTGTAAACATTTCTATGCACTTCATAGTTTGGTGCAGCCATATTCAATTCTTTTTTTTCCCTTTTTTTTTTGGCTTAAGGACAAGGGTGCTCACCTGAGAGGATGAGAGGGAGAGAAGAAAGCACCCACCATGTGGAATGGCCACACTGCAATCCAGTCTCCTCCATTTCTTTCTCCTTTCAGGATTTTGGACACGCATACACTTGCCTGGTATGCTCTTCAAGCTATTGGGTCCTGGACTTGAACAAAACAGTCACCTGTGTGGGATCCAACTACCCTAATCACCATGTCACAAAGTAGACCCTCCATATTTGATCCTAAAGTAAGAGTGCCAAGGGACCAGCAGATGTCATAATGATTATGTTGCTGGAGTCCCATGGAGTCGACTGCAGTTCAAGTCCTGGACCCTGTGGCTTGAAACTCATGCTGGGCACGTGTGTGTGTGTGTGTCCAAAATCCTGAGAATGGAATAGAGGAGAAAGTATTGCAACATGGCCATCCCTCCTGGGAGGTGAGTTCTCACTTTTTATCTCTCTGTCTTTCTCCGTATCTCTGGTGAGCTCACATACCCTATAGCAAAAAAAGAAAGAAAAAAAAAACCTCTAAAAAAGAGAGTGGCATCTACAGTTATTCTCTCTACTTCCACGTCTTCAGATCTTTCCAGTCTGTCATAGAGTGCAGACATTCAGTGTATGCTAAGTGAGGACACACCACGATTGTCTTCCATCGTCTGGTTTATTCTACTGGGCATTAACTCTTCTAGATTTATGTACTTTGTATTAAATAACTAGACTGTACAAGGGATGAAGGGAGGGAGAAAGGGCTCAGGACAAAACATTTCATGGAGACAGGAATGCATATAAACAGATAAATAGATTATGGGATGGTATACCACAACAGAATTTTAAAAAGGGGGGAGGGCGGAGTGAGGCATTGCCAAAAACAAAGCAAAAACAGAAACTAGTAAAAAAGAAAGTCAAAGGTGCATAAAACAATGTTCTTTTTCAAAGATGATGAATATAGGTAATATACTTGATTTGGTTATAACACACTGCATTCGTGTTTTTAAAAGACATATTGTGCCTCACATATGTGTGCAATGATTAAATGTAATAACAAATTATCAAATAAAAAAGAAGAGAAGAAGGAGAGTAGTTAAAGTGATGATTGATCTGGATTAGGCTCTCCATCGATTTTCAAATTCAAACAGGACACTTTGCAATCTCATCCTCTCTCTTTGCCCTTATCGGAACAGTAGCTTTTATTGATCAACACCTGAAATTATATTTGGGAGAAATGGTAGGTATATAGTAAGAAGACTTTCATAGAAAACTTTGGCTAGAGAAAGGATTTAAAGCCATTTGATCACCCGAACCTGGATACAATTGGGTGTATTTTCCCTCCCTCCCCATATGCCTTAACTGCATTTCCAGTGCTATGTGTCATAGTTCAGTGACACACGAGTCAACATATATGCTGAAAGAAGAAATAAGGCTTAACTCTCCTTCTGTCATGGTTCACGTTTTCATTGTGTTTTAAACAAGATGTGTCAGGATAGTCTCTGTCACAAATCAAAAAACCCTCAGGCACTTTCTAGCTGAATGCCCACAAACAATTAGGTCTGAGGCAGTAGAGGAAAAGCAAGAACACAGAGGAAGTCTATGGCAAATTTATTCTCAGTAGCCTATATCCCTCTAACCTATCAGACACTGAATCACCTATTCTGTGCCTTTGTAAAATGCAGAGATTAAGTCTCAGAACTCAGACCCTGCTTTATGACCTAAGGACACATGCCAGGGATACATAGGAATGTTGATATTTACTTGATCCAAGGAATGAGCTTGAAAAACAACTTTCCAGTGCCCGGAGTCCGTGTCCTGGGCACAGGCTTCGTCACTCTCACTGACCTCCACAATATTACTCAGAGGCTGTCTGTCACAGACACTTTAAACC